AGAGGAAGGGAAGGCGGTGGGAAGAGAGGGCTAGAGGTTGGCATCACCATTCCAAGTGGCACGCTTGAGAAGGGTCAAAAAGGGAATAAAGATGATGTCCTCATGCACTGATTTTCCAAACCGATCCCTCCTGCTCATTTGGCTACTCCCTACCCTTCTGGTCCTGGCCAGCAGGCCAGCCCTCCACCACGGAGTCGAGAGGAAGAAGGGGCAGAGAAAGGTGCACTGAGCTCATCACTCCAGACCTGCATCCTGCCTCCACTTCCCTCTCTGACCAGGCTCCAAAAGAATACCCCACTCCGGCTCAGAATTGGGTTTTCTCTTTTCTTTCCTCACTAACTCCACGCCCTCCACGTTACTACGCCCTCATTCTTCCCTTCTCCTGGGCTGGGGCTTGGCTGAGACTCCTGTGTCTATTAGTGACGGGATGAGAGTGAGACACCTTCAGTCAAAGGGAAGATCAAGTCTGTCAGGCAGGGATGCAATAAAATATAATTTAATATGATGTACAGTTTCCATAAAAATAAACCACTATCCCAGTAAGAGACTTTACGAGATGAGCTGTCCTGCCCTGAGACATGAACCCTAAGAGGAAAGAAAGAGCACGCAGCACTGAAAGAGCTGATGTAAGTCCCAGGGAAGAGAAACCTGGCCTGCTATCAAAGAAGAGCCCATGCCGGCCCCCAACTGAGGCAAGTCAGTGAGGCCTCAGCTGTGCCCAACTGCAGAGCCTAAATAAATGGCTTCATCTCTCCAGACAGCATGACTGCATGACTGACTCAGACTTAAGGATAACTTGGGCACTCTGTCTGTGGCTACAAAAAGAGAAACAAACGTTCTTTGTCTTATCACTAAAAAAAAAAAAAAATCAAATGTCTACTTGCATCTATCTAATAGTATTCTAGACCCAAAAGCTGACCCTAGTCTACAACTACAGGGTTACTTAAAACAAAAAAAAAACTGAGATGCAACCTAAATATTCAGTAACATCAATTAAATAAGAGCATTTATTTCCTTGAGAAGTCTATCAACATAGAGATAGGCTTATGAAATAATGCTAAGTGAAAAACAGGATACACCAAATACAATGCTGAAAAACTACATTTATACATAGAAAACACAAATTATTATAGTTGCTAGGGAAGATTGGGTGACTTTTTATATCCACTTTAAAAACAGGGGGGAGGGGGAGGGGAAGGAGGAACTTCTAAAACTTAACATTATCACGATTTTTCTTAAAAGCTGGGGTAGAATGATTTTTTAAAATGAATAAATCAAATCAGTCCAGCATTGTCTGGCTGCCTCTGGAATTTTGTTTCTTTGTTATGGTGTGAGGCCACAACATTAGTAACAAAGAAACAGAATTTCTGGAGAATGAGGCCCAGAAATCAGGATTTTAAAAAGATTCCCAGGTGATTCTAATGTGCAGCCAAGGTTGAGAACCACTGGTCTATCGTCATCCAGTCTACATGAACCTTCTAAAGAACAGCTGCCTCTCATTTATGTGTTTTGTTGTCTGCTTAACCATCACAAATCAGCCTATTATATAACACTCAGTATGTAGGTCAATTAGGTCTCTGTAGATTTTATCAACTTGAATAGGCATTTGGAAAGTCTAAAATGTTGACCTCACAAAATTCCCCCCTCCCAAAGCATTTCTCTGCACATGGATTTGGTTATATCAGATATCTAGTTATATCTTCTAAGGTAGCGAATAAGAGTGATATCAAGAGTGGCAGCATGAAAAAAGAATGTGGACTCTGGACAGTCTTGGGTTACAATCCTGACTCTACCACTTGGTAGCCGTGTGACCTTGGGAAAGTTATTTAACCTCTCTATGCCCCAGTCTTTTTATTTGTAGAATAACAATTCACAAGCGTTGTTTTGAGGATTAGATGAGTTAGTACTTAGAAAGTGCTTGGAACATGCCTAGTATATATTAAATGCCCCACAAATATTATCATTACTTATCATGATTTCTTTCACTTTAGCACAGTGTGCTCCATGGACATACTGGGAGCAAATACTTGCACTGCATATACCTGGCAAAGGACTCCAATCAAGAGTATATAAAGAACTCCTGAATATTAATAATTTTTAAAAACCCAATTAGAAACAATTGATATTGGAATGGTCGATAAGCATATGAAAGTACCTATATACCCAAGAGAAATGAAAGCCTTTATCTACTTGTATAGGAATGTTCAAAGGAGCTTAAAAACGGTAAATAACTCAAATATCCATCAATTGTGATATGTTTACACAATGTACCAGGTATATGGATACAGTTAAAATAACATGAATAACTCAAAAACACTGTTTCACAGAGAAACCCAGACACAAAAGGGTATGTTCTGTATAATTCCATTTATATTCTGTTCAAAAACGCAAAGTCAATCTATGGTGAGAGAGGTCAGAATAGTGGTTACCTCTGGCAGGCAGGGAAGACAGTAGTAATGCCTTGAAAGGGTCACCAGGGAATTTTCTCGGACTCTTAATAATATTCTGGATCTTCATCTGGGTGGTGGCCACATATGCAAAAAGTCATTCATCTGTACCTCAAGATTTGTGCACTTTACTGTATGAAAATTCATACCTTAATAAAGTATTGTTTAAAGGGGAGCACTATTAACTATGAATGGAAGAAATGAGAGGCAGTTAACTTCTCTAGAGCATCCTTCCGGGTGCAGGATGCCACACCACGTGCTGGAGAGGGCACCGTAGCACACTCCTTCGCTGCTCTCTTGTTGCTTTAAGTAAAATGCAGGAGCCAGGACACACACTCTTCCACGCAAGCCACTCCTCCGCGAGTTCTCTGCTGGGATTCTGGAGCCCGGATCGTCGTGCTGCGAGGAAGTCTGTATCCGGCGCTGTGCTCTGGGCTTTCTGACCAGGATCTCACTAAAATGACTAAATCCTCTGACAACCCCGTGCGGTAAAACTAAACACACTTTGGAACGGGAAGCTGGGGACCAAAAAGCTCTTTTCCGAGGACGACGGAAACCCCTCGTATCAATACATCCCAGTATTCCTCCATGTAGGACTTACTAGTAGGGGCGCTCTGGCCCTCACAGACACTCGGTAAATGTCTGTCAATGGACGAAGGTTTACCCAATTCCCACATGTCCACACTAAGGGAAGAAAGTGTTTCATCTGCACCAGGGAACCCTGCCAAAGAGCTGACGCCACCAGAACCGGCGCATGCGCCCTGACTCGCTCTGCCCAGCTAAGGCGCCCTCACTGCGTCCCACACAGAGCGCAAGCGCTCTCCCTTCGCCCCGCCCCGCCCCGCTCGGCCACCGCGCATGCGCAGGCTAGTCGGAGTGCAACGTACCTGTGCAAAGCTTGAGGCGGACACTCTTTTCTTCTTACCCGGGCCATATCCCCCGCCGCCGCTGCTGCCGTTGTGGGAAGGACTGGCTGGCCTCTTCTTGCTGTTCCGGGATATCCCCGGAGCGGCCGTGGTGGCCAAAATTGGAATTTGAGCCGCCATTCCTATCCTGAGTCTTCTCCCCCCCCCAACCCCCCTTGCTTTCTCTGCAAAGGTCCTGGGACTTCCGGCTCGAGGTTAGTTCCGTCTTAGTGCCGGAAAACCCGGCCTGGATTCGCAGAACATCCGCTGACTTCTCGCTACCGAATCCAAAAGGCGGAATCCAAAAGGCGGAGCTCGGTGCAGCCAATTCCGTGGAGACCGGAAGGTGTCTGCGGGCGGCGTCCTGCTACTCCCCAAAAGGACACGTGCTCGCAAATCCCCAGCGATCAAGGAATAGAACATCTCGCCATCTTTATTTTTAAAAATAGGTTTTTAAAAATAACCCTGTTGACTTTTCTGACGTGAAGTCAGAAGATGGATCACTTTTGCCCTGGGGGCGTGGCTCAGTGGTTGAGCGTGGACCTAGCAACCAGGCGGTCACAGTCGATTCCCCCTCAGGGCACATGCCTGGGTTGCAGGCTCAATCCCCAGTGTGGGGTGTGCAATTATTCTCTCTCATCATTGATGTTTCTATCGCTTTCTCCCTCTCCCTAAAAATATATATATTTTTAAAAATAGATGGGTCACTTGTGATATGTGTAACAGTGAAAGTAGGGTCATTCTGGGTGGATTAGACTACTAGCCTTCCCATTGATCACTGCCTTTTCATCGCTACTTCATAACTGTAATTTTGCTACTGTTAAGAATTGTAATGTAAATATCTGATATGCAGGATGTATTTTCATTGTTACAAATTGAACATAATTAAAGCATAGTGATTAATCACAAAAACAATAGGTAATTATATATGTGTTTTCCGATGGTCCTAGGCGACCCCTGTGAAAGGGTCGTTCGACCCCCAAAGGGGTCGGGACCCACAGGTTGAGAACCGCTGTTCTAGAAGGAAGGGTTGGGGTACCAGATGGTCATGTGTCCTTGTCTCCGCAGACCCCTTGCTTGGTGCAGAAGGGCATGACAGAAGAGGGCCCTTTTGTGCAGGCGAGGGACCCATCTGTTACTGGGATCGAGTCCTGAGAAGGCATCCTATGAAGAACGTGAGTGAGGGGCAGGGAGCTCCTGCTTCCCTTGAAGCTGGGGTGGGACAGGGAGAGGTGGGTCCAGGTGGAGGCCCATTTTTTGATGAGGTGGCAGGAGGTTTATGTGAGCCTGACTTTCTAAGTAAAGGTAGAGGAAGGATCACCTGCTAGGTGGAGGAAAGCGGGCAGAGGTTTGGGAGGGGTCATAGGTAAGCTTGGAAAAGCCAACGTTTAACAGTAGTGTGAGAGAGGGCTAAGAAGGCACCTGTGAGAAACATACTGGCAGTGCTGATGGCCTGCCATGGCTGTCTGTGTGCACTTGGGTGTGTTGGGCACAGCTCAATCCAGGAGGCAGTGTTGACATCAGCTACAGCATGATGGTAGCCCCTCGTGTTGGCATTGAGCCTCTTGCACACCCACACCCGGGGCCAGGCTCATGCAGTCTTCTCTCTGAATTTTGACCTCAACAGTTACTATTGCTTTGCAAAGTCTGAGTGAGAGAAACTAGTGTTAAGGACCCTCTTGTTTACTGGAATCACTTCTTAAACCCATGCCTGTTATGTAAACACTAAATTAACATTATGAATATGGCCCCAAAATGCTGACAAAGGTTTTCCCAAATAATGGTGTCCTTACCTTTCATTCTGAGAGCCAAAATTTTGCTTCCAGGATGGTATTTTCCTCATCCTTGTTACCCACCTGGGGCCCTCCTCCT